CCTATCATAAATGACATCAAATGGTTGGCTTCTAAATTTCAGCATATCAGTTGGAAACATATTTATAGGGAGACTAATTTCATGGCGGATGCATTAGCTCATGTGGGCCGCAATGTTGCCAACCCACATTTTTGGAATTTTTGTCTTCCGATTTCGGCTATGGAGGCTTTTATTTTTGATTGGATGAGAAACGGTTGTATTAGAGGTTTTAAGCTTTAACAAATTTCTTCTTCATAAAAAAAAAATATATATATATATATATTATTTCCTTGCAAAATCGATTATAATTCGTATTTAAACAATTATAATCAACGATTTAAAATTTAAACTTAAAGATATTTGAACCTTTTTGTTTTTTGTTAATTTTTCTTTTATCTAAATCTAAACCACATATTAATAGAACTATTTTTATCAACAGAAAAAGGGTGAAAAATTATTTAACAAAACAAAATTTTACTATTTTTTGTTTAAGCCTCACTTATAGGTGATTTTAACATCTAAATTTAAAATTAAAAAAATACACTAAATATATATTTTAACATCTCTATATTGTTCACTTATTTTTTTTACTCTTCGGCTTAAATATTGACACACCTCGACCTGGGATGTCCACTTGAACTCTGAATCGAGCTGTGCTGGCCAACACCTGGAAGGTGACAAAGCTATAAAGTGTAGTGATGTGGAAATTGTGAATAAATTTAAACCTAAAAGTGCCTAAATACAAGAGTGCACAGTGAGTGGGAATGAACTCATTGCACACGTGATGACAGAGCATAAGTACATTACAATAAAATAGGGTGAGAATTATACCATCAGTGGTAATCGTCTACCCCAAGATTTGCCAATAATCCTCGTCGGTACGAAAACTTTGCTACTAGAACCTGGAATGGCGAAAAATAAGGGTGAGTGGGCCTGAAAATAAAGTTTTAATAAAAACCTTTGGAAAACGTTATAACCTCTCGCTGTAAAACCTGTATAGTTTCCAAAATATCATATTACGTATAAGTATGAAAACCAAATGCATAAAAGCACTGACAACAAAAGCATGCCATGTCATAATATCTCAACAAAAATAAATGTAAGGCAGGTGTGAATAAATCAACTAGCGTGCTAGTCGGAGTCACCTAATGTAACATGTATGACAGGCTAGGTGTAATAATAAACGCTCTATTGCTACGATCACGTGAAACTGGCGTTATGTGCGGGTCATCTACGAGTCGTAACTGCCTAATGCAGTTTGTATGACAGGCTAGCAGTCACTTGGATCCAAGGCAAGCGTGCGGTGCGGGAGGTGAACATATACGTGAAGGCTGTGCCCTGGCCCTGGGCGGGTGCACTAACACTGAGGTGTAGCAATGATGAGCACTATATGAACATATGCATGCCTAATTGATTCAACCATTTTCAATCCACCACATAACCTTACCTGGACTTACCTGTGCGCCCCGCATTCACCTTAACATTCCAAATCATTTTAGAACGTCCTTGGGGATGTGTATTATGTAAGTTCCATGTTCTATCGATAAGAATTCTAAGAGATGATTTGATAATTGTTCTAGGCGGCGATCATTCGTGACGCCTCGATATTCATGCTAGGGAGTTATAGCGCGGATTCCAGGTGAGTGGATTGCTTGGGAGTTCTCAGAAACAAAACCGTGAGGGAATGGTAAGCCCAAAGCGGACAATATCGTGCTATGGCAGAGTTGAGACTGGGATGTGACAAATATTCTATTGAATATACACTTGTTGCTCAATAAATCGTAAATACAATATAAAGATTTCCGTAATGCTCACCGAAAATATTTCGAGAAAATAAAAATTTTGCCTTTTTTTACAAAAAAAAATGTGTATTAACACTCACGGTTTTCAGTCAGTTTTGCAAATTCGTACATAAATCACTGTTCAATCTATTTATTTTCACCTTCGCCTCACTGTGAAGTTTTGAAAATTAAGGTGAAACTTTCCGTTGAGATTCTTGAGTGTAGAACCCTATTTGACAATGTTTTGGGCTTCACTGCTATGTTTTTTCACTTATTTTTTTAGTTTTTGGCTCGAATATTCTACTAAATAAATACATTTGTTGCTCAATAAACAGTAAAACTGCTTCCAAATTCCTTAAAAAGGTTAACTTAATGCTCAGGAAAACTATTTTACGAAAATAAAAAGCTTGTATTTTTGTCAAAAAAACATGGGTGTTAGCGGGCTTGACGCACATAAAACAAGATGGACTCAGCTCACGCAGAACAAAGCGAACCATGGCATGCAAAACAAGGTAGGCTCCTATCATAGAAAATAAGGCAGACTTTTGGCACAAAAAACAAGGCAAGCTTTGCACATAAAAACGAGGCGGAAGACGTCATGCAAAACGAGGCCAGCCTTGAGCACGGAAAACGAGGTTAGCTATGTGTATACTAAAATAACGCGGGCTCCGCGGGCTTTTGACATGTAAAACGATGTAGACACCTCACATGCAGAATGAAGCGAACCCAGGCATGCAAGACGAGGTAGGCTCCGTGCACCCCCGGATGCTTAGAAAACGGGGTGGACTCATTCATGCAAAACGAGGCGAACCATGGCAGGCAAAACAAGGCAAGCTTCGAACACAGAAAACAGGGCGAGTTTTTGGCACGTAAAATGAGGGTAGCTTCGCGCATCGAAACTAGGCAGGATACATAGCCCAAAACGTTGTCACCTATGCGCACAAAAACCGAGGTTGGCTCCGTGCACGCCAAAATTATGCGGGCTCCGTGGATGCAAAAAAGGACGGGCTTTTAGCATGCAAAACGATGCGGACATCTCACATGCAGAACGAAGCGAACCCAAGAACACAAGATGAGGTGAGCTCCCCACACGCAGAACAAGGCAAATTCTCGAGTGCTCAGAAAACGAGTTGGGCTCCACACACGAAAAAATATATTTTGAAGAACATGAATATGATAGTTTGTTGTATTATGTACGAGAAATAAAAGAAAAATTAATAAAAATGTGCAACAATGATTCAAATTGACTTTCTGGCACCCAAAGAATTTGAATCTTGAATCATTTTTATTTTTTTATTTTTTTATTTTCTTACCACTACAACAAACTATCATATTCATGTTCTTCAAAATATATTTTTCTATGCAAAATCTATTATAATTCATAATTCCCTCTTTCAATTTGACCAATTATAATTTAGTCGTCGACATTCATAATAAGGCATGATGCTATCGTTTTACTTGAAAATATAGTATGTACCATAAATAACATACATCATATATAATCATCCGTTTGACATTGCACAATTTATGTGTACATCAAAGATTTCTTCATAGCATTGGTACACATGCCTTTTCAGAGGCTTTCGTTATTTTCTAATTGACTTTCGTCTTTTGTAAGAAATTCATATATATGTCACTACTCAAGCGTACATCATAAAAATAATCTGATACTACTTTAACTTGTTTAACGGGGACATTAATTTTTATTGACATGTAATAATGATCACGCATTTTAATTTTTTCGAGTAATGTTAGGAAAATTAAATTTTTTTTAAACCAAATTGCAAATCAAATGATGTGTTACTAATAAGAAACAAACAAATTAATCGATACTTAATTAATAAACTACATCATTTAGTTTGAAAAATTTGATCTACCTAACAATACTCAGTTTTTTTCAGTAAACATATATTGCCATTGAAATTGCGATTTTCTAGATTGCATTATAACGTATATTGCCATTGAAATTGCGATCTTTTGGATTGCATTAACTTCAATATCTTATTTTGGCATCTTGACCAGACAATAGTAAACATTCCATAATTATTCACATCGTTCTTTAAGAACAACCTCTCTCCCACCAACAGGGAAAACTGTTCTCACGAATCTAATACAATTTGATCAACACTTTTTCAAGTATTCATTTTCAGCGACTCAAATACGTTTGATAAAAAACATGATAGCGAAATAATAATGCAGAATCTTTATGCTCGCTTAATGAAGGTCCATATGAGCTCTTATTTATATATAGCAATGGAAAAAAAAATACCGAAACAAAACGAAACTGTGCCAAAACCAAACAGAAAATACGGTAATAATCAGTATCTGAAACGAAACCGAACTAAAGTTGAAGCATTCGGTCTGGGAAACGGTGTGTGTGTGTGTGTATTCTAAATTATTATAGCCATCGAATTGGTTGAGTTAAAATTAATTGTTTGAATTATATATACTAGCATATGGCCAACCACTTGTGTGTGGGTGGAAATTTTTTTATTTTTTGTTTTTAAAATGAGTAGGGAGTTTTTGTTTTTATTTTTATTTTTTTAAAATGAGAGATTTGTTAGGATCACATGTAGGTAATGTTTAAACAAAAAAATATGTAAAATTTAGTTTGTACAACATTACTTTATTGTTCATAATTTTATTTTGTGATAAAAGACAAAAATGTATTTTCACCCTCTTTTGGTTGACAAAAAAAGGTTTCATGTAGTTTAGATGTAATATATAATTTTAGTCGTTATAGTAAATATCGAAGAAGTCAGAAATGAAAAATCAGAAAAAAAAAAAAAATCATTTCATTCCAAGCATATAAGAGCATCTCCAAAGGAGATGTCAAATTGTTCAAATCAGCAATAATAGTAACAAAATACAACATTAATGTTTTCCAACCGAAAAGCGAAATCTGATATGGCATGACATGGATTGACCGATCTCCCTCTTGCTGCCAAATTTGGCAGCACCTTCAAATTTTTTTAATTAATTGTTAAATGCTTTTTATTAATTTTTTATTAGTTTAAAGAATTATCCTTTTGTTTATTTTCGTTCTCAATGCAAAGGAAATACATATGAATTATTATTTTATGTTTAAAATTTGACATATCAGTTGGAGAGTAAAAGTACCGTCAAATTTTAATTTTAGGTTTAAAATTTAACATCTTTGAAGATGGTCTAAGCATGTTGTAACTATGAATCATCAACCAAGAGATGATGATAGTGAGCATAGGAGCAAGTCAAAAGGTATAGCACTGGATCAAAATTTATTAAAATAATGTGACAGGAAAGTCATTACCTTGTTCTCCAAGTAAATTAAGAAGAAAAAAAGGATCCTAAAACTCTACTTCAAAGCTTGGAAACAGAATCCTAAACTGCCAATAAAAGTTGTCAAAAATATACAGAGGTTGAAAGCCCAAACACCCTAATTTAACAACGTCCCTTGAACAATGCTAGAATCTTTACATGTCTTCTTATTGTGGCCGAGCCCTTTGCACTTGCTACATTGCAGCTGGCGTTTTATTATGTCGTCTGATTCGGTCTGCTTCATCTTTGGCCGCCCTGGCGGCCGCCTGGTGGGCGGAGGGGTAACAGTAACTACTACTTGGTTTGATTCATCTGTGTGTGGTCTGTCTACATTCGGAACAGGGTGAATTGATTCTGCATAAGTTAAACGGTAACTCTCCACCGTGAAGTATCTGGAGCAGTAATCATAAGGGTTCCTGCCAATAGTTATAAAGACAGCAATAGCATGGCAGCAAGGAAGACCAGTGAGTTGCCATCCCTTACAGGTGCAATCCCAATGGTCGATGTCAACACTGTCGACAGATTCTCCACGAACCTCAAATGTGCTACCATGTGAGAGTAACACTTGAAGTGATTGAGCAATTTCCGTTTCCTTTTGAAGCTTTTCCTCCTTTGATGGTGTTAATCTTGTCACCCACTGATTGGACTCCACCCCACGTGAATAGAAGGCTTGCATCGTATTGCCTCGTAATACGTCAATCATCTGCGTAATTGGCAACTCATGCGCCTCTGATACCCAACTGTAGAACTGCTGTCCGAAGTTTGAAGTCATGTGGTTGTACCTGCCTCCTCCGCAGAATGCATTTGCCCAGTGCACTGGCTCACTTTGTATGACCCAATTGTAAGCATCCGGTGAAATATTTTTTATGTTGTCAACACTGTGCTGGAAAGCCTCCCGAGTGGGTGCATAAGCAGCCGCATAAAAATCACTTATCATGAATCGTCTTGCCTCGTGAGAAAATTGCCCCTTCAAGTCCTTGTTAAGTTTTTCAGCAAGATGCCTCAAACAATAGCAGTGGTAACATTTATCAAATACCTCGGGCAATGCATTTTTCAATCCATACTGAAAATCTGCTACAAATGTGATCGGCTGAGATGTTGCCACCGCCGATTTCAGTTCTAGTAAGAACCAATGCCAGTTCTCATCAGTCTCAGCATCCACAATAGAAAATGCTACTGGAAACACACCATCATCAGCATCTGCAGTTGTTGCAGCCAACAAAACTCCTTGATATTTTGAGTTCAGAGGAGCACTATCAAGAAAAATTAGAGGGCGGCAACCTTCTTTGAAACCCACAATTGATGCACGGAAAGATACAAAGAAACGATGGAAGCTCGAGTCTTCCTTAGTTGCAAATGAAGCAAAACTTCCTGGATTAGTTTCTTTTATCTTCTCGCAGAAATATGGCAACTGATTATAGGCCTCTTTATAGGAGCCTTGAAGCTGCTCCCTGGCAATCTCTTTGGCACGCCATGCCTGAGAATAATTCAATTGAATCCCGTACTCTCGCTTAATGTCCTCTGCTATAGCCTTTGGCTTGTAGTTTGGGGAAACTTTCAACTTCTCTTTTATGATACTTCCCACCCAACCTCTTGTTGCCCTATACCCAGCTTTCACAGCAGCTCCTTCACATGTATGATCCGTGTTCATTTTCTTAATACAAATCAACTGGGTAGTAGACAACCTTGATGCATATATCCTCCATGGGCAATTTTGACCTTTGCACTTGACAGTGACACGGTGACTGTCATTTTTCTTATACCTATAAGCAAATCCATGCGCAATTGAAAACTTATGCAATGCTTCTCGGAATTCGCTAAAACTATTAAACCTTTGGTCCACACCGGTGATGGTGTTTTCCCACTGTTGTGCAGCCTTATGATGCTTATCATCACTGGAACAGCCAGGAACAGAAAGCAAAGGGATTTCATGGAGTTCCATATCAATCTGGCCATCGGCATTGTCATTATTGTCGGTATCAATTCGCGTATCAACAGGGTCAACAATAGGAACCACTGCTTCCGATACAGTTGTCCTGCTTGACCTGCATGTCCAAGTGTCTGAATTAAATTTTTATGCAAAACACATGCAGGGAAAATGTCACTTCTTGTAACAGTCCGTGTAAACAAAAATTCGATAATAAACACACTTCCATGGCCTTTGTTGCACATTGAGATTGTTCCCAAACAGAACCATATAAGATTATGCATACAGGGCAAAACACACAGAAGCAGATACCGAAACAGCAAGAAATAAGATGAACTAAAAATAAAATGTACCTACTAGCAGGCATGTTGGACAAATTTCTAATAGCAGCTTCCTCTGTCATCACAAAAACATAGACAGTGTTTGTATCCCCGAGAAAATTGACCATACGTTGCAAGTCCTTGTCTTTAGAGATCGTAATGAGAGTCTTCGTATTGCCGGGAAGGAAGTACTTGATGGACATTGTATCAGCACTACAATTAAACACATCCACTATTTCGGACTTGAAATCACCAAGCAGTGTTTTCTCATCAATGCCAATCGCATGAGCATCACCCCCAGAGTATGATAAACTTCCATCATTATTCGTCACAAATTCTCCGCCCAATTGACATATTGCTATAACCTTCTTCGCAGCCATGGCCTACCCACCCAAAAAGACATTTTTTTTATGTTTATGCACAAGAAATCATAACGAAAACTACAAATTGCTCAAAGCAGTTTACACAAGAGGGTCAAATTTCGTAGTTCATAAGAAACTAATTACACAGATTGAAGCCAAGTTTCTCAAATTACATAAGCAGGTTTAATTTCACAGTTGATAAGAAACTAAGTTCCAGCCACATTCACAAAAATAACCCTAAACTTTAAAACTTTTGCACATATCCATACCCTAAATGTTGAAATTACACAACCCCAATCTCTTATTTTGCATATAAAAAACATCAAATTTTCCATCTGCAGAAGGAAAATGTTCAGAAAAATCCTAATCCTAAATAATAATAATAAAAAGTCAATAAAATCGAACGTATAATTAAATGCAAAAGAAAAAAATCATTTATAAAGTAAACATAAATTAAACAATTACGCGAGAGCGGGAAACAAGAACCCTAATACGAAGGAATTGTAAATATAAACAAGTATAACCGAAACCCTAGAATTTGGGGGAATTAAAAATCAAACCTTGAAGCCAGACTGAGATGAATTTCTCAGGTGGAACTATGAGAGGCCTTCAGCTTCTGAAACAGAAGAAAGTCGAAGAAGCTCCGCAGACCGATACACAAGGCGTAGACAGAGGGGCGAACCGGATAATGACCTTGCCCTTGTAATTGGCTGCATCCGCGTATAGATTACTTTTTGTTGACTTGGCGTCATAAACCGTTGATTGTTAATACTACTTCGGATTTGACTTTTTGAATGGCTGTAGATTAGTGGTGTAGATATATTATTCTGATTGTACGGTATCCGGTAAAACGACGCGGTGTGTGTGATCGTATCGGGAATGCTGCTTTAGGAAATTTACTTGTCCAATCAGAATGACGGGGCCCACATAAAATCGACGTGGGCCTCACGTAATTGGAGAAACGATGTTTCACTGTTTAGCAATCAGGTACACCGTGCGCACATTGTATCCTGATCTTCTTATCGTCTGATTGCACATATCCCGTACTTTTCATCGAGTTATGTACAGTAGGATATTGGGTTAGGTAGGGTATCTCGACCATCTTATACACTCGAACTGTTCCACGTCAGTCTTATTTAGGGTGTAAAATTTGTTATAAAAGCAGTCATACTTAAATTTCTTTTGTTAAATACATAAAATTACCAAAAGTACAGTGTTCATTTCAAATTGTTACGTGATCATGTAAACACTTACACAAACACAATGAATACCTACATGTGGAGCCATTTGTTACTCAAATTGTGAGACTCCAGTTAAATTATGGACATGGCATTTCTTGAAGGCTTTATAGTCAAAATAGTTCATGAGATTTGCATAACACATCACTTTGATTCATGAGATTGAAAATCAATCGAAACGGTCCCTGAGATTGTCCATCATCCATTATTTTGGTCATTCTGTTAAAAACTCCGTTTAGTGTTCCGGAACTCTTGGCCGGAAGTTTGGGTAATTTTAAAGCTTCGTAACTCAATCGTTTATTAACCAAATTCAACCCATAATATATCAAATGAAGATAGGAAAGTGTAGAACAAGATTATATCTATTTGGAAGCCCAATAGTTGCCAAAAATGGCCGGAAAATAGCCTGAAAGGTGACTGGCCGGCTGGAAAACTGGGTAAACTTTAAACGTTCATAATTTTTTCAATACTCAATGAAATCGAGTGATTCAAAAACGAAAATCATTCTTCTCAATGAGACGAAGAGAATGGTACCTTTCTCAATGGCTAATTCACCGTGGTTTGGCCAAAAACAGCTTGAAAGTGGCTAACTCGAGACCAAGACAGCCACTTTCAAGCTGTTTTTCGGCCAAAACATGGCGAGTTAGCCATCGAGAAAGGTACCATTCTCTTCATCTCATCGAGAAGTATGATTTTTGTTTTTAAATCACTTGATTTTGTTGAGTATTGAAGAAGTTATGAATATTTAAAGTTTACCCAGTTTTAGGTGAGTTTTCCAGTTTTCCGGCGGATTATTAAAATTTCAGGTTATTTTCCGGCCATCTCCAAAAACCATTGGGCTTCCAAATAGGTATATCTTATTCTACACTTTCCTATCTTCATTTTGATATATTATGGGTTGAATTTGGTTAAGAAACGATTGAGTTACGAAGCTTTGAAAATTGCCCAAACTTTCGGCCAAGAGTTCCGGGACACTTTACAGAGTTTTTAACAGAAGGACCAAAATAATGGATGGTAGACAATCTCAAGGACCAAAGTAATGTGTTATGCAAATCTCATGGACCATTTTGGCTAAAAAACCTTTATTACATGAATTTTTTAATACAACAATATATTCACACTATGAGATGGAAAAATAAATTGATATAAACTCCATGAGATTCAAATATAAAACATTTTATTTACAAACAAAGAGGAATACAACTGACCTACAATGACACATTTGAGTGTGGGTATGGTCACAAACTTACCTACACTCCTTAGAGTGACATAGTGCATCCCGAGCTAATAATGTGAACTATGTGTTTATTGGAAATGTGCCTTAAAACCAATCATGAAATGATACTTTACAAACATTTCGCTTGTTAAAATAATCTAGTTCAATATAAAGGCAACGATTAATGTTTAAAAGTCATCTCATTAAATGTTATGTGCTTAAACGATAAATCCAAAGAATATGTAGTGAAGAGAATGTGATCTAAATAAGTTAGAAACATGAGACCTTTCAATTTCACACATATCCTAAACGTTCATGATTATAGGATTGTCAACTGAAGATTGACAATCCAGATAGATCATTTCATACTATGTCTTCTCTTCACAGAGTGACTGGTCTTGAGTCATTGGCGGCCAAGACAAGTATGTAAGTGCTCAATAGAGAGTGAGTCCACTGATTACGATAAACCAAGAGTTCTCATACTCATGTCATTTGAGAACTCACCAATTGGGATAATGCAAAGTAGTCCTTTAACCTAAGACACCACAATTATTTTACAATCAATTCCTTAATCTTTAATAGCTCAGTTGGTAGAGCATTGGGTTTTTAACCTAATGGTCGCCCGACAACAACAAGACGCTAAATTTCAAAGCTACTCCCAGTACAGGGGTATCTTTCATTGAATGGGCCCAGGTGCTCCAGTCGGTGTGGGATTTACTATTGCGCCGATTAGGGCACCAGTGATTACAAACGAGAGTTGCGAACGAAGTGAGGCTAGAAACCCCAATTAGAAACCTTTCACCGCGCCACACGATTCGGTAGCTCAACTAAGGATAAAAAAGACTCAAATGTGTCCATAGCTATTTCCAAACAAAGATCTAAATCAATGAGCTTGACCTGTACATACTTGAACTTATGTGGTATGCCGCTCCACAAGCAAGGAGCATCCATCACATCTTCATCTTGAAAACATCCCAGACTCTAGACCTTGCTAATTTTAAGGTAGTTTACTTGCTTACTGCACAATGTAAGCAGGAAGAGGTGCAATATCAAGTAATGCGGGAGGAAACATTGCCTGTTATATGTTAAAGGCATTCTATTTGAGAGTGTCCACAACAATCGTTAGGGTTAAGCTACCTAGTCATTGAGGTAAGTGAGTGTATAACAAGGGATCTCTAGCCTTCAAACCGTTGAAGAAGAATACTCTAGGGTGTGTTTATGCACCCGTAATCGGAATGAAAATAAGGAATCTGATTCCGATTATGGATAATTCTTGTGTTTACTACGATTTGGAGGAATCAACAGCGTGTGGGACCTACACGAAAAATGGAATTCAATTCTTGAAATTGGAGGAATTAGACTCCTTCCATGGATGACGTATTTGGATTCCTGGATGGTGAAGGAATCAGGAATGCATTTTTTCTTCCTATTATGCCCTCATTCACATGATGCACAACTCCATACTCATTCACATTATGCACAACTCCATGCATATGCCGAAGAGAATGAACTACAATTTTGAGCGAGAAAATTTAAAGGGTAAATTACACTTTACCATCTCAGGTTCGGGGTCTATTGCAACCTCATACAACATCTTCAAAACATTTCACTTTCATACCTCAAGTACTATTTTATTTCGATATAATATATCAATTACATTTTCCATCAATTGATCCGTTAAGAGCTGACATGGCTGCCAAATTTGTGCCATATGGCAAAAAAATAAAAAATAAAAAATAAAAATAAAAAACCTGAAAACCCAAAAACCCATTCCCCCTGACCACCTCCCTCTCCTCCACTCTCTTCACCTCCCTTCCCATCCAAAAACCCACCCAATCCCACCCCACCCCCACCTCCCCCGCAACCCCTCACCCCTTACCCCACCCCTACCTTCCTTGAGCCCTTACTGCTTCGATACTCTCATTGTTCACTACACCACCGAGCAACCTCCTACCTCTGCTTTTGACGACGGCCATCAGTACTCCCTCTCTCTCCCTACACACACACACATGTTTCAATTTTATTATATTTAATTTTTTTGGAAAAATCTAATGCCATGGTGGGTGGGGTTGCAGATGAGAGAATGGAGAAAAAGGGTGGGGGTGAAGAAGAGAAATGGCTTGGGGAAGGTGGGGGTGGGATGGGGTGGGTTTTTGGATGGGAGGGGAGGTGAAGAGAGTGGAGGAGAGGGAGGTGGTCAGGGTTTCTGGGTTTTCGGGTTTTTTTTTTTTTTTAAATTTTATTTTTGTTGCCACGTGGCAAAATTTGGCAGCCATGTGGCACAAATGTAGAAGCCACATTAGCTCTTAACGAATCAATGAACGGAAAATGTAACGGATGTATTATATTGAAATAAAATAGTACTTGAAGTATGAAAGTGAAATGTTTTGAAGATATTGTGTGAGATTGCAATAGACCTTAAACCTGAGGTGGTAAAGTGTAATTTACCCAAATTTAAAGTACATACTTAAATTTAAAAAAAAAAAAAAAAAAGGTGGGGGGACAAAAGCATTTTAATGTGTCTATGAAATAAAAAAACAATTTAATTTTTTCTCACTATTATATATTTTATCAAATTTTATTAAAAAAAATATATATAATATTTGATTTGGGACAAGGGCATTTTAGTAATCATACTGGTTTATATTTCGATACTGCTAAATTAGTAAACAACTTTATGGAATTAGTGTCATTTTTATTCCGATTCCAGAACATGTAAGTAAATGGCTTCAACACGAATCCAATTCTAACTCCTCCTCATTCCAATTCCTCCTCAATTCAATTCCTCATATTTTCATTACGATTACTGTCACGCCCCCAGCCTGAAAATATTAATTTCGGGAAAAGATATTGGTGACGGCCCAAAAATTTTGCTTTATTTCGCAAAATTTTAAATCACGATTCTTTATTTAAATTCCTTAACTCCCTCTCAATAAACATAAATATAAACATATTAATTTATAAGGCATGTGCCTAGGCTTTCTATTAGTCAAAATTTACTTCTAATAACTAAACTTCTTAACAGTATTTAATTCTTGATTATTTAATCTTACTTGTTTTATGGTTGCATCTAACATCTCGTTAGACTGCCTACGTACCCTAAACAAGGATCAAGCCATTCGTAGTTCACAATTCATTATTTACAAATTTCCAAACGTATCCTAGTAACCACCATAGTCAACACTAACCTTCATACTCCAATTCATATCAAATGGTTACCAATTATAGATTCATAATATCGAAATTTACATGAAAAATAGCAAATCGGCTCCCTGGTCGTGCGCTGTTGCCAGTGGCGGCCAACCGCCCTGGCTTGTTGGAAAATTCAACTATTTCTAAAAATTCTCAAAAAATACATAAATGAATATCTCAAATAGTAGAGCAAACTTTATACTTGTGGCCAAGTCTAATTTGGCCGGGAAAAGCTCCAATTTCACCCAAATCTGTCGAAAACCCTAGAATAGGTGTGCTTCGATTCGTCGCCTCCGGTGCTCCGCCGCCCCTACAGTGGTTTGGGCTTTGTTCTAGGCCTCAAGGGAAGTCTAGCAATGGTGGTAATTGGGGGGAAACCTTTCATAATTGTTAGAATTCGAGCAAGGGTTCCCGTAACACCTATGGTGTGGGTTCCCCAATTCCAAGACCAATTTCACTCCAATTTGGGGTGGAATAAGTAGAAAGGATGATGAGAGATGACTTTCAAGTAGTGGAGGACCTTCATCTCGTCAGAAATTGGCTGGGAGACCATGAATCCCGCCGGTTGTGTCTCACGGGTCAAAAGACCCGTTTCCCCCTTCTCTCATTTCCCTCTTTTCTCCCCTTCCATTGGTCCCCGTCTCTCCCTTATCTCTCCTTTCCTTTCAACCATGGCCACACACGTGGCACTCCCTTTTATTTCAGATTTTATGGAATCTTCTCATTAATGTCAAAATGACTATATTAGCCTCAACTTCTATCGTTAATAACTTCTTCGTTATAATTCCGTTTTACCAACGGTTTGCGCCTACGCTTTCGTGAGTTCAAGCCCTATTCAAAAATATAAATTGTGACCTGAAAATGTCTATGGATTTTAAATAGTTAATTTCCAAACTTTAAACCTTGTAAGCCATTTAATTTAAAACTGAACTCAAATAAATTAATATAAACTCTCAATACCACGAATACGACATTATAATAATTCCCGGAACAAAACTTTACGATTTTCCCAATTCTATTTTTGGGACCGTACATTGATTTAATTTCGATTTTCTTCACATATTCACAATTATGAATATGAAATTCATATATTTAAATTTTCAAGGTATTACAGTTAAGTAAACGTGCCATAGGAAGTACGATTTGGAAAGTACATTCCAAATCACATTCAAAGTAATCATATAAACAAAGGAATCACATTGGATAGTGAGCATGGATAAACTATCAACCAAACAATGTGATCAATAGTGTTGGTATAGAGAATAGCTATATTGCATTGTAGTCCCAAACTGAATAGGTTTTCCACCTCTTCTACTTAGCTTGGGTAACCATGACATATTGCAAAATGCTACTCATGATTTGCAGAAACTCTGAACACTAGCAATAAAAAATTTTACTAAAAGGAGAATTGAAAATAAGTTTCAATTCACTAGTAAGATTTCTATTCGTGCACTGCCTAGCTAATTAGAAGCTAATGAGCCCTAGTTTGGTATTGACGTACTTCTAAAAAAAAAATGGGTATAAAAAAAAGCTGGGAGATTTTTTGTGCTTGGTAAACAATCAACTTCGGCTTTTTTTTTCACAGTTTTAGGTGAAAAAAAGCCAAAAACACAAAGTTGCAAAACCCAGCTTTGAAAAATTGGCTTTTTTTCCTTGCCCAGCTTCCACGCAAACTGATTTTGCAAGAGGGAGAATGGCAATCTCTAAAGGTATCTCTCTTGTTCCCCCAGATCCCGAAACCCCCAACACCAACCACGCTCATTCCGACCAAGGGTTTCTGCCTTCTTCTCCCGATTTCAATCTCGCACCGTCTGATCTCGATCATGCCGTCCTCGATGAGCTTCAGAAACTGGATTTGAAAGAAGAGGGGGAGGACGATGGAGAGCCTGATGAGGTGCGGAAGCTGGATTCAATAAAGAAGGTAGATGATGATGGAGCTGGTGAGTGGAAGAAGGTGGATTTGAAGGTGGAGGAGGATGGAGCTGGTGAGTTGCAGAAGGTGGATTTGAAGGCGGAGGAGGGTGGAGAGGGAGTGGAGGAAGAAGAGAAGAGTTTCGGTGAGCAATAAGGACAAGATGAAAGAAGAAACACTCTTAGAGAAAAGAATAGAATAAAAAATTATAAATATCTTAATAAAAAAAAGGTAAAAGTACACTCTTCGTGTATAAATAGTTTATATAAATCTTACTAGCATTTGCCTACACACTTTGTGTGTATGAACACATTTTTTTAGAAAATGAGAAGAAAAGAGAGAGAGGGAGAGAGAGAGAAAGAGAGAATGTGGGGGGAATAGGAGGTTTTTTTTTTATTTTTATTTTTTTAATATTGGAGGTATTTTAACATCACTTATAGGTGAGGTTTCAATAAAAAACAATAAAATTTAGACCTGTGAAATTACATTATTGCCCATTATTTTTTTTTTTGTGTGATATAAGATTAAATTATCTTTCACCCTCTTTTGGTTGATAAAGAGAGTTTCATTAATTAGTAGAGATAAATGTTATAATAAAATAAAAGATAAAAAAGTTATTATATAATATTCAACATTATATATTTTTTAGTCATTTTACACAGTCACAACGGTTTTACATAAAAATTTACCAAACATTTTAACACCGCTTTTACAGAAAAGTTTACCAAACACTCTACTGCTTTATTTCATAGCTGTTTGTTCTCATAGCACAGTAGAAGTAAATTTTTTTCAAGGCACAACAATACTAAACCAGCCCTGAATCATGTAGAGTACTGCTTGAACAGCCGAGGCTTGAGAAAATGTCTCGTACATCCGCGTCTTTAGACCGTTCATCTTGCTACTTCCTTGCTTTTGACTCTTTGAACGGCTGAAGATTTGATTTCCCGACTCTTAAACCCTTTGGAATTGCAATGTAACGAGTAAAACATCGTGACGGACATTTGGGGGTTTGAGTGGAGAGATGAGAAGATGACTAGTGCTGCAGTTGTAGTAGCCCTTCCTTCTCCCCCTATTCTTAACGGGTCTCTTGCTTCTCCAACTCCCACTAATAGCAGCTCGGTAATCTCTTTCTCTCTCTCTCTCTCTCTCTCTCTAACTGGTGATAACAGAAATTGGTAAATTTTACAGAACAGAAAGGATGGAATTGGAGAGCAAATGGTAATGAAGCAGACAGGGGATGGTGGGTACAAGTGGCGCTTGGTTATTGCTTATGACGGCACCCGTTATGCAGGTTTTTTCTTTCTTCCATTAAAATTTAAAGCTTCGAGCTTTGCCCTCCTTCCGCTTCAATTTTGATGTGCTTTGCTTTATTAGTCAGCGCCAAGTCTTGGGTTTTGCTGAGTATTACGTTCATGAGGAACCCAATTGCTAATATGTGATTCTATGATATATTTGACATAATGCCGCTGAGAAGGATTTTACATTTTCCTCAACTTCCAACTTTGTAAATCGAGCACCTTATGGCCATGAAGGTCATTCTTTGCTGTCAATTTTTGTAGAAAATCTGTCGTATCACCAGTTATATATAACCACGTGTCTGCCACGGGTCTCTGTCCTCATTTCTGTCAATTTTAATTTTTAGGAGAAAATCTGTCGTATCAGCAGTTATATATAACCACGTGTCTGCCATGAGAGATAGGCTCATGGTTGTATAGCCGGTGACACCCAGGGACCTCTCCATTTTGAGATATTTAAGACGCCCATTTCAAAAGCTCTCAACTTGATGTTAAGCTTCAACTTTCTACATCAATCATCTCCCAACACCTCAATGAATGTTACAGGATGGCAATATCAGAGTTCACCACCTACCGTACAGTGCTTTGTGGAGAAAGCTCTAATGAGCGCTACGAAGCTGGAAAGGAACGATCTTCATTTCGTTGGTGCAAGTAGGACGGATAAAGGAGTACATGCCTGGGGTCAGGTCGGAATTTCTCACAACAAGCATTTTCACAATCAACCATATCACAGACTTACATTCAGTTGTGCTTTCAGGTTGCACACTTTGTCACACCTTTCGGCTATGACAGCATTGAAAGCATTCACGCTGCTCTCAACGGTCTTCTTCCTGATGATATCCGAGTTAGGGAGATCAACCCTGCAGTGCCTGAATTCCATGCTCGTTTTTCAGCGAAAAGTAAGATTTATCATTACAAAATATATAACGACACATTCATGGATCCATTTCAGCGCCACTATGCTTACCATAGTGCTCATAAGCTAAACGCCACTGTTATGCGAGAAGCTGCAAAGTATTTTATTGGAAAGCATGATTTCTCTGCTTTTGTCAATGCTTCCCAGAAGGAACGAGTGCGTGATCCAGTGAAGGATATATTCCGTTTTGATGTCATTGAATTGGTAACAATCAAACCCCGAAAGATTTCTTCAACAGTAGTTGAATTTTAGAGTTCTGTGCATTACTGTTCATTGATTGATAACTGATTCTGTAGTCATATCCTTGTTTAGGGAGTTCTTGTACGGCTAGAAGTTGAAGGCTCCGGCTTCTTATACAGACAAGTCCAGAACATGGTGAAGCATTCGTTGAACCATTTTCGTCAAAAGTTAATGTCTTTTTAGTTCCAAGCAACAAAAGTATAAGCATCTGCATTTTTACACCTCTGCAGGTCGCTCTGCTGGTTCAAATTGGAAGGGAAGCACTTCCTCCTGATATTGTTCCCAAGATATTGGCAACACGAGATCGGAGAGCGCTTGCCAAATATACCATGTTTGCTCCACCTCACGGGCTCTGTCTTGTGACGGTCAAGTACAACGAGGCGCATCTACGGCTTCCATTCGGTTCCTTCACGACCAGTTTTGGTAGGCATTATACTATTGGCTCATGTAAGCTTCCATTCTACTAAGAATTTCACTTGTACCAACCAAACAATATACAACAAGTAATAACATGATTGTTCAATAAATAATATTAACTTCAATTTGTTAGTTCCCCCTCCAACAACACAGCACTTAAGAAATGGTGAATGAAAATTTCCATTAATGGGGAAATCTCCCTCAAAGATTCAAAATGATCCAACAATACAAACCCTATCACTGCACCGTAGGACATGGTTTCATGTCTCGTAAAAACGAAGCTCTATCATGCATTCCTGGTGCTTTGGGGAATACCAAGCGACGGCTTTAGCTGAACCGAGGACTTGCAGCGCGTATTCAAGCGCAAAGACGGGCTCATCCACGCGTATATTCCAATCTCGGTTCTTTAGTTCAACTACGACTCCTGAATCAACCCTGAAACTGACAGGTCCACAAATCTGCAACAAATTGCAGAAATTGTAACACGCAGTTCAGAGCTAACATTCATGTCAACACCGCTCAGGTTCAACATCCCAAAGAGAAGCGATCCTAGTTACTACGATGTGCAGCTCAAGTTCAACTCATGAAAATGTAACAAGAACAAGTTTCCAAACTTAAAAACTTGCATTCTGAAATCACAAATTGACGTCTTTTCTGCCAAAATGGAAGATAAAATTAATACAAGAGAAATACCTGCTGCTGAAGAGAAAGTGTGGCATTGGGGCAAATGTCCTGTATAGCTTCCAACTTTGGCTGCTGAGAATTGAAATAATCTTTTGCTAGATGTGCAGCACCTGAAAGAAACTTAGAGCCAGAACGAAAATCCAGGCGGGTGTGAAAGCGAGTAAGATCTAGGAATAGTCTTTGGAAGTTTCCATGCTGGGCTGTAAATGTTGCTGATGCAAATATATCTGCTAGAAAGGCAGACTTAACTCCAGGAGCCCGAAAACTAAAACCTCTAAAACCCTGAGGACCATCGTCAGCAATTTGTGACCTAACCGAACTATCACCAAATGAGGCAGTCATAGCAGCACCTATGTTTGAAATAATGAATTTGAAGTATCAATTAGCAAGAGTTGCATACATCAGTTTGGCAACATAAGCATCCGCAACAAAACCACTCGACCCAACTCACCTTAAACCTAATTGTCACAGGTTTGTTAACAATGAACATAAGCAATATTATACTGCAATTTCTGCACACAACCATCCCCTACTCTGCACCGTAAGAGTACAGTCCTAGACAAATCTGACAAAAATTGTATTCGACGGCAAAGCGCACCGGACTACCTGATCCCAATTTACGAGCAAACAGTTTTATTATTAATGCTACAACAGATCGTTTCTTTTCTAGTAAGTTCCGGAAAAAGCGTTCCTCCTTTATATAAGCAAAAGGGTGTTAACTAGTTCTTATAGAAAACCTCATCATCTTCTCCCTTCCCTAGTCCTTCCTTATCAACTAGCTGTATAATTCTGCAAATGCAGTGCCTTACCAATAATCCCTGAAGCTGAAACATGAGGATTTGAAAGGAATATATCAAATGGTTGGACCATTCTCAACTTCTGAGCATGACTCCTCCAAAGCTCAAAGTTCTTCTTAAAGGAAAATGCACTTGTGACAGACAAACCAGGAAGCAGAGTAGCAGGAACTCCATCGCTCTGACCACTGTCAAACCGCTCAGGAGTCCCCAAATTATGACGTGCACATACATGATAACTGGCACCGGAGTCAGAAGCAACCGAAGCCAGATCAAGTGACATTGAGAATGGCACATCCCAATAGTTTCTGGGTTTGTCAACGAAAAGTCCCGGCCAAACTGCCTCCACTGTCAAATTATGATGAGGAAACTGCAATGTACATGATTCTTCACAGCATTACTACAAACGCAGCAACAAGGGCAAAAAACTGAGAATTTTCCATGAAAAAAGGCACCTTGTGCTGAAAAAGTGCTTTCTTTCGAGGTTTCTTGTCATCGCCATAACCGTCCACACTCAAAACCAATGTGTCATCGGGTGTCAGCCAAAACTCAGAGCAGAAAGAAAGGGCGTACAACGACTTCTCACGCAGGTGGGTTCCAATGCTTTGCATCCACGAAGATACAGAGTCCGGCGGCGCCTCCTTCCCGCTCTTTTTCACAGCGGAGATGAACCGCTGCACATTGAACTGACCCAGAAACGTCCCGAACCTATAGAGCTTTTCAATTCGAGAATTAGTGATTCAACTTGAAAAATGCAAAAGGGAAAGTGAAGTGGAATTTGGCGGCGGCTACCAATTGTCGCCAATGGGTAGGGTGAGGACTCGCTGGAGAGTGAAGCCGTTGGCGGGGGCGTAGGAAGGGACCAAGGGGGAGGGCATGAACCGCTGCATGAAGTCGATTTGCTTGGGCCTGGAGAGCTTGGCGCCACGGGTGAGGCCCAGAGGAAGTGGGTCGCCGGGAACCGGCCGGACCAGTCCATCGAGGGTCCTCGGTGTCGACATGTCGAGGTTCCAGAAGCTGCCGTCCATTGCCCATCTCAGCTTCTTCATCTCCATTCCCAGATTGGTTCTTGTTTCAGCTTCTTCTGCTGCTTCTGCAACTTCTTCAAACCCATTTGATCTTTGACAAATTTATGAACGACAAGTCGTCTAACTTTGGAAACGACAGTGCTTCGAGTGGGATAGGTCCCATTTTGTGATTCTTTTGTGTTATTTTTTGGGAAATTTAACGAAAAGTTTCCGATGCTGTTTATGTTAACGAAAAACCACATTTTTACATTAAAAAGTCAATTCTGGTACTATTCACTTTATCCTTTATTTTGTTCTTTTTGTTAAAACTCAAAATTTTTCAAGTCATTTTCATTAGTTTTCCTTATTTTTAATTCTTCGTTTTTACGAACCCTAACAAGTATCGACACATTACATAGAGATGCTTTCCATTGGGATGGTATTGGTCATGAGTTTTTATTTAATATTTTAGCTGAAGATGTAATCGTTAATATTAAAATTTAATAAAGTTTACTTTGACAAAAAAAAAAAAAAAAAAAAACCAAGCATCAACACATTATATTATTGAAGCGAGACGCCACGTGGTGATACACACGTTTCATATAAATTTCTCTCAAACAAGGCCACATAGGTGTGAGAGATTGAATTTTAACGTATAATTTTCGTCATTCGTTTGAGGGTTGGCATAGATGAAATGATAAAGGTGATGAACACCTTGGTGTCGTAAATCCGTCACAAGCCATGACCATTGGAGAAGCACTGATTACTAATTAGTAATCACACATTATTGTTATTAGTTTGAAACCTTGAAGTTGTAACGTGCCGGATCATCATACAGATCAATACTCGAGTTAGGATATTCAAATAAAAATCAATATGGTAAACTTGGCCGCCATGATCAATATTTACAACAAAAATGCAGTTCTACGACATACAGTTCACCTCGTCGTCCATGGCAGATCCATTAAACCTCGAACAGTAGTATGAATACGAATCATGAGCAAGCGTCTGCAGAAACAAAAGGCACGGCGTATAAGCGTTAGTTCTAAGGCCGTTGCCATGAAGACTATAGGATTGTGTGCGAGTGTAATACATTGCTTATTTGCATTTTCTTTACTTTGTATCACGTCTGCATAGAAATCCTGAGTTTGAATGCAGAGCGGAGCTACACCTATATGTTTTTCTATGTCAGCATTTATCGTGCAGGGTTGCACGTGAAGAAGACAGTTTCGCTTATTCTCCAACAATTTAAGCTTTGGTGTTTTAGTGGTTGTCAAACACAGAAAGCATGATAAAGAAAGCCGTGATAGTTGAGTTACCTGTTCCTGTGAGCGGAAATACATGAACGGTGTATAATGTAGGAAGTTGGACACCCTAGAGGTATATATATCAGCATACCTGTAAGATGAAAAGGAATTGAGAGCATCAATGTCAATGAGGACATTCATAATTTCAATTTTGACATCTGTCACAGCCGTGACCAGATTTCACATTAACGAAAGTGAACATGTCAGAAGAAAGAACATACTTCTCAATTTGCCTCATCAAATGGCTTTTATCCCAGAACCCTGCACGTGAAAGAAATCCCCACCTGATGCAAGGTGGGTTCAAGAGGTCAACTGTGTGTTCATATGACAAACTTTTTCTACAAATAAAACACTAGTAGTGAATAAACAATTCCGTATTCTTTGTAAGTATCTTACCTTTTGTTGAAGAGCTCTCCATCTGCTTCTAGCATCGGAGCAATTTTCTGGTCTAGTCGTTGCATAACAATAAGTAGCTTTTGCATGCTTTCTGAGAGTTCTTGATCATCCAAGTTTGTTGCAGCAAGGGTCTGAAAGTACAGAAAAATCCAGATAAGGTTAAGAAGCACTACATCACATAAGTCTTAGATTAGGCATTCAAGGCATTCACATTGCTTATTCAATGCTGATGATTCAAAACGAAACCAATTTAGACTAATAGCTAACTAAAAACAAAAGCAATGAGATCATAAGATAACTTACTTGAGCAGGACGCCCTTTAGTTTGCCTTTGTGAGGCGAGCCGAAGTTGGTTGAAAAGATCCCCTACGACCTCCTTTTGATTTATAAGATCTACTAGTGCTGCTCTATGACCCCGGCTATGAATCAAAGCACTATACTGCAGTTCAAAATTTTCATGAAACAAATTGAGGCCCTCATTAGCATTCAACAGCTCAAGTATATTAAAATCTCAATTTCTAGGACACCAAATTATAAATTTAGTTCACAGTGTTCGGTCTGTGGAATAACGGAATACTTATATAAACGCGGGTTCAGTTTGGAGTCTCAATGTTTTTTTTTTCTAGGTAAAACTATATTATGAGTAATGCCAAATTGTTAGTTGCATTTCCCTTTCTGAACTCTAGCATGCAAAGCGAAATCAACTGCACAAACCTCTTCTTCCAATTCTCGACAAATCAATGCTGTTCGCCATCGCAGATGAACTTTGGATTGACTTACATCGGTGTAGATATGATCACCAACATATAATATCTCATCTCCATGGATATTTAGGGAATTCTCAACCATCTGAGCACTTCCTCCTGAATACAATCCCCCTGCAGAAAGAAGACATTGGAATGCGAATGAGATTCATAAATAGATGTCAACAAAGTATAGATGAAT